GATTTTCATCTTTCTAATTTTCCTATTATCTCTTTTCACTGAAATGTTTATTTTATATTTTTAATAGTCTTTTTTTTTTTATTTTGGTCTTTTTGAGACAGGGTCTCCCTGTAGCCCCAGCAGACCTGGAACTCACTATGTAGACCAGGCTGGCCTCGAACTCACAGAGATCTACCTGCCTCTGCCTCCCGAGTGCTGGAATTAAAGGCATGTGCCACCACGCCCGACTTAAATATACTTTTTAAAGAATAAGAATCTTAATTTCTTAAATTTATGACTTGCTTTTATTGTGTTTAATTTTCCCCATTTCATTGCTTTCTTTTCATCTTTTGTTTCTTTCATGACAATCAAGAAGAATGTCATTTGGGGTGGGGACTGTGTACCCTAGTGGTGTAGCCCTTGCCTGGCATACATGAGGCCCTGAGTTCGTCCTTTGAGGGCGTCTCCTCCCCAGAAACAAACACAGAGATGTGACAGTAGGAACGAGCTCCACGCCACAAGCAGGCCTGTTGGGGTCCCTGTTTCTCTCAGGTTACTTATGCTTCACCCCTCCTGATTGGCTCCCTCATCCTTTCTAAAAGATGAATCTGGGAAAACAAAAACAAAAAAATGCCCTGAACAGCTTGAGAGCTCTGTTCCTTATGTGCAGATGGTACCCACAGAGTTACTTAAAGATACTGTTCACTGGCTCCTTATCATTCTGTACTCGTATGAAATGAAATTCTGTTAAAAATTCATGGTCATTAGGGTGTGGGATGAATGGATTCAGAGCAAACTCTGCATCAAACATGCTTACCTGTAGGTGGGAAAAGTGTGCAGGAGCCCAAAGCACAGGTGCCATGCCTCTGTCCTGTAACTTACCAGAGCAGGTGCAGCAGGAGGGAACTGTTGGGGGGGAAGGAACAGAGGGCTGTAGAGATTCAGTGGTTTTGCAGAAGACTCAAGTTTGGTTCCCAGCACCCACAGTGGGTGGCTCACACAGGGGCAGCTGGTTACTTCCCTGTCATCAGCCTTCTCAAGAAAGAAGAACTCCCAAAGCCATGATGTCACCTTTCCTGTTCTTGGATTCATTCAGTTCTTATTTTAGTCAAATTACCTATAGAAGCTCCTCACAGAACAGTTCTTCTGTGGGAGCTCCTGCTTCACGTTTGGACTTCCTTTATTTCTCCGGGGCTTGACTTCTCAGCTCCTCCTGCCCCACAGTGTTGCTTCTCTTCTTAGCAACAACTTCCTGTTTCCTCCAGACCACTCCCTCACCAGATCCTATAGAGCAGACCAGCAAGCCAGCTGGCCTCCATCCCCTCTGACTTCATCCCTCACCCCCTAGCGTGGCCTACTTGTTTCATTATGCCCTCCACTTCCCTTCCACCAGAGTATTTGAGCTACAGCCTAGAATCCAAGCATTCTAGCCAAGCCCCATGTGTCAGTTTATAGCGTCCTCACTAATATTCAGGTGGACCTCAGACTTTTCTCCCAAAACAGTAACAGAAGGAGAGTTAAAGTTCCAGATGTCTGTAAAACAGGGTCAGAATGATGTTAGCATGGAAAATATCTGTGGATCAATCGCTTGAGTTGGCATAGAAATATCTTATAGGGCATTCTTTTTCTCTTTTCTCTTTGGGACTAGTAATTTAATTTGCAAGTTCTGAATTACGTAACAGTCCCCTGCCCCTCCCACACATGCACATCAATTTGCCTCCCTTAATGTTTTTATAAAAATGGAGATTGCTTGCAATGTTCCTGTGGTGTAGAAAACACCAATAGGTTATTGTTTCTAAGATTTTTTTTTCCAGAACTTTCTAACAATTATAACTATGGTTCTTTGTAGCAAACTTTAACCTTTTCTTTAACTCAGTCAAGGTTTTGCTAGCCATTTGACACTTCCCATTGGCCCCCAGGTCTTTCCTATAGAAAGGCTGGTTATAAAGATCAGAGCAGTAGCTGCAGAAAGGGTAGAAGGCCTGGAGAAGAGACAGGTCTTGCGCCTTTAGTGCCGATAATTCAATATTTGTATTTACTTATAAAACTTGTATTTTTAAATGAGATTTTGTTTTCTACTTACTTGGAAAGTTTCGTGGGTCTGGTTCATTATTTGGAGCCATCTGTAACAGTATTTTTGAGAATTTATGTGTTTAAATCAGTTAGGAAAGGTTTTCAGCTTAATGCATAATTTTCAGTATTTATTCTCACTGGTTAATGAACACATTAGAACAATACTATAAGATTATCCAGTTTGGGGACTGGGGTTAGGGTTAGGCTCAGCAGGTAAAGTGCTTGCTGTGCAAGCATAAGGACCCCCCAAACTCACATAAAAGTTAGGTGCTACAGTGAGCACTGTAATTCCGGTACTGGGAATCAAAGACCGGCAGATTTCTGAGGCTTGCTAGAAAGACAGTCTAGCCGATTTAGTGAGCCACAGGTTCAGTGGAGAGTGACTGGGGAAGACACCTGACATTGACCTCTGGCCTTCACACACACACACACACACACACACACACACACACACACACACACTCATTTTTGGATGGGCCCTTGTCATTGTGGTAAACCCCTTACTGGCACTTGGGTAATTAAATGTCTGCTGCCCACAGTGCATTGTAGTCCAAGACATTCTCATTTCCAATCTAGCTTTTTACTGGAAGACTGTGAAGAAGCCCTTCTGAAAAACCCAGAAGGAAAACCCCGGTTAATCTACCATCATTTGGAGGATGGGAAAGTGACTTCTGACTCAGTCCAGCAACTGATGGATCAAGTGTCTAACCTAAGCAAGGCCAACAAAGCCAAGGTAAGCCCCAAAGGATACTTCTAAGAACATGGTTGGCAGAGGGAAAGCCTGAGCCACGAGGAGAGCATGGGAAAGGAGTCTGTGTGGCCAGAGCAGGTAAGAGAGGGGCACAGGCCGGAGAGGCAACCTGCTTGGATCAATCTGTAGAACCTCAGAGACTGTTTTAAGGACTTGGGGTTTTCCTTGGGGTAGAGTGGGAGGCTGTTGCAATAGTTTAAGTGGGATGACAGGACCAGGCACGGTCTTCTGTCAGTAATCCTTTCAGTGTTGTGTAGAGAATAGAGTATTTTGGAGGGCGGTGTGCAGAGTCTGAGGTCTCCTTCAGCCGTCCAGGTAAGAGATGCTGGAGGCTCTAAACAGGGTGCTAATAGAGGTCATGAGGAAAGAAAAATGTATATTTTTTATTGTTCACGCTGAATCCGTGTGTGATCTCAGACAAGTTATTTAACCTGTCTCAGTTTCTTCTTCAGAAAAATGTGAATTACAATGTAGTATCTTCCTCGAAGATAAATGAATTAGAAATGTTAAAAGGTTTACCACTACCACCTCCTGCTGCTGCCATTGTTGTGTTTTCTTGTAACTGTTAAACCCATTCCCTCCCCCTGACCCCCAGATCATTGACCACTCAGGAGATCCTGCAGAGGGAGTATATAAAACTTATGTCTGTGTGGAAAAGATTATTAAACAGGTAAATATGCATTTCTTGTAAGTTTTCATCTAAAATAGCTTGAGACTGTTTTCCATAAAATTGAGTTTTCCAGAGAAAACCACTTATCTGCCCTTTTAAGAACAGGGCCCTAGGAGAGCGCCAATGATCATTCTATTGAGAGTTGGCCCTGTGATGGGATCAGAGTGTTACCAGGACCAAGCAGCTTTCCAGCTCCCCTGTCTTACCTGCTGGGATACTTGTTAGATATAAAGCAATCAAGTTCCAAAGGAGGTATTTGAAGGGAAAAGTGCGTTTTGCTCCACAGAGAGGCACCTCTCCATGCCCTTAGGAGTTTTACACATCTGAAAAATCTTTTTTGTTCCCCACCATGTTTTCCCTAACAGTGCCGAGGGCAGAAGCACCCTTCAGGGTGCGAGAACATAGACTGTGAAAGCATCTGGTGCTGGAAGTTTTTTGAAGTTTTATGTATTTTCTTTTTTTTTAAATTTTTTGATTTATTTTTTTATGTGTGTGAGTATTATGCCTACATGTATATAAGTGTGCTTGCAGGATGTGCTTGTAATGCCCACAGAGGTCAGAAGGGCATTGTATCCCCTATAACTGGAGTTAGGAATGGATGGTTGTTAGCCACCATGCAAGTGTTGGGAACTGAACCTGAGTCCCCTGCAAGAACAGCTACTACTCTTAATTGCCAAGCCATATCTCCAATACCTTATGTATTTTCTTAAAATGCATATGGATAATGTATCTACTTAATGTTATGCCTTTGCTTATTTTTTAATATTTTATTTATTATTTTTATTTATGTGTATGAGTATATTGCCTGCATGTGTATAAGTGCACCCATGTCATGCAGTGCCCATGGAGGTCAGAAGTATCAGAATCCCTGGAAGTGGAGTTACAGATGGCTGTTAACTGCCATGTGGGTGCTAGGATTTGAACCCAGGTCCTCTGCAAAAGCAGCCAGTGGTCTTAACCACTGAGCTATCTCTCCAGCCCCACCTTTGTTTATTTTTAATATAGAAATGATTGCTAGAATTATGCCAACCCAAATACCAATATCTGTAATTAAAAGACTTATTTCAAGTAAAATGAGCACAGCACTATGTTAGGCCTGTGATAGCCCATCTCTCCCAACACCTTCCTGAGGAGCCCAGGGCTCTATTTGAGAAGAAAGGGTGACATCACCTTTTCTAATTAAATTGGGTTCTAGATAGGAGATTTGTTATCAGAAGAAAAGAGTGAGGTACAGGTACAATGGTGAGATGCATGGCCCCAGGTTTGTCTGCTTCTCTAGTACAAAGGTTGTCAGGGTAGAGTCCGAGCTTCTTAACAATCCTACAGATTTTAGGACCAAGGTAAGTCAGATGAATGGAGCAAAATGAAATAGTCCATATTCATCATCTTTAATGCTTAAAGGATGGCATTTTTCAGTGATCTAATCTAAATACAACAGCAGAGATATTTGATATAAAGAAACTCCATCTCAGTAATTAAATGTTTATGGCATATTTATTAGGCATTAGTACAGCCTTTAGAATTATTCACTAGTGGAGCTGAAACGCTAGTTCAGTCTGTAAAGTAACTGCCTCACATGGCGGCCCTTGCTTGTAATACCAGCAGTGGGGAGGCAGAGGCAGGAGGATCCCTGGGGTTCACTGGCCAGCCACTCTAATCTAATTGGTGAGCTCCAGGCCAATGAGAAATCCTGTCTCAAAGGAGAAGTGTTCCTGAGGATGAAACCTAAGATTATCCTCTTGCCTTCTCTCTCTCTCTCTCTCTCTCTCTCTCTCTCTCTCTCTCTCTCTCTCTCTCTCTCTCTCTCTCTCTCTCTCTCTCTCTCTCTCTCTCTCTCTCTCTCTCTCTCTCTCTCTCTCTCTCTCTCTCTCTCTCTCTCTCTCTCTCTCTCTCTCTCTCTCTCTCTCTCTCTCTCTCTCTCTCTCTCTCTCTCTCTCTCTCTCTCTCTCTCTCTCTCTCTCTCTCTCTCTCTCTCTCTCTCTCTCTCTCTCTCTCTCTCTCTCTCTCTCTCTCTCTCTCTCTCTCTCTCTCTCTCTCTGTCTCTCTCTCTCTCTGTCTCTCTCTCTCTCTCTCTCATTCTCGCTCTCCCCCCCCTTGCACCAGGGGATCCAACGCCCTCTCCTAGCCTCCACAGATATTGCATGAATGTGGTTCACTGACATACATACAAGCAAAACACTTGTGCACATCAAATTAAAATAAAAAATTGGTTAAAAAATGTTTAAAAAAAAAAACAAATCCCATTAGAGACAAATCTCTTACATGCACTTCATGACACCCATGAGTCTGGACTTGCCCTCCTTAGTAGGTACAGCCACCTGGCCTGGGTGCTGGCCCCTCCAGGTCTCTGTTCCTCATTTGCTTTCCTGTGCTTGCTCTTCATGTTCAGGACATACTGGGCCTGCAGAACACAGATGTGGAGGTGAAAGATGTGGGCAGTGAAGACTCCACTCCAGAAGAAGATGACTTCGGGGATGTCCTGTGGGACATACATGACGAGCAGGAGCAGATGGAGACCTTCCAGCAGGCTTCTGATGCAGCCCATGAGCTGGGGTTTGAGAAAGTAAGCCTTTTGACTGTTGCTCCAGTAAAGAGCAGTTATTGGGCTTGGGAACATGGCTCAGTTGGTAAAGTTCTTGCCATGTAAGCATGAGGACCTGAGTATCGAGCCCCAGCACCCATGTAAAAAGCCCGATGTTGTGCCCTCTTCTGTAACCCCAGTGCCTGGGGGAGTAGGGGACTTGTGGATCCTTGGAGCTCATTGGTCAGTGAGCTCCAGGTTCAGTGAGAGACCTTGTCTAGAAAGAAAATAAGGTGGAGAGAGAAAACAATAGAAAAAGACACCAAAAGTCACCCTCTGACCTCCATATGCACCTGCATTCGCACATGCATGTAAAAAAACTTAAATATAAAAAATTATCATTTACCACCCAAAGGCTGCCTCATAGTGTTTTCCCTAAGTGTACTCCCGGTTTATGTTGGTGTTACGTGCTCTCAACACTGAGTGAGCCATGTTGGAATGTGCTTAGATTTGCATAATATGAAGGTACCTGATACTCACATGTATTTATCAACACTACACATTTTTGTAGAGTGTCACGCCACCTCCAGTGGAGCCTGCGTGAGGAACTCTCCGTAGGTTGAGGCTGAGAAAACTTCAAAGGAAGAATGCCTCCTGGAGATGGCTGTGTTAAAAGAGCATGCCGTGTCTTTGGCTGTTCTACTTTAGTTCCTGTCTTTATTGATGCAATATTATTCTTATTCTTTCTTCATAGAGATTGTTTTGTACCTACTCGGATTGTTAGGACCACCTAAAGAGAAGCTAGGTATGGATGATTTCCTGGGAACTTGGTCATCTGATACTATACTTCCTCAGGTGTCTCTGTTCAGTCATCAAGAAGCCAAGACAGAGAAAGTCTTGGTCCAGTCAATCTCCCTCGGGTCCCTCCCCTAGACAAGTCTATGCCTGGATGCTTGAGTTGGCCTAAAAATGTGAGGCTGTTTTGCCCTCTTTATGGGATAGACCCCTGATAATCACATGCATGACTAATCCCAATGACGGGTAAGACCCTCCCAGACTGATGAACCTAAGACAGGGGCCATGAGGGCAATCATGGTTACCCAAGGACGGGCAACTTCAGAACCTGAGGAGAGGCAACCTAAGACAGGGAGGTCATAATAAAATAGGGAAAAGGGACGGTGACTCCCATTCCCAGGGCTATCCCTGGGAAGCCTCACTTAAAATAATAAGGGGAGATGTAGGGACCTGAGGCTTGAGACCTGAGACTTGAGACCTGAGACCTAAACGTACAGTAATCAAAGCAGCTAAGAATAGGCAACCTTGGAAACTCCTAGATAAGTTACAGTAAGAATCAAGAGTTTATGTAGGAAATAATAGATGAGTGATTATTCAAGGAAGGAAAGTTTCATGGTATTCATTACAATTCATGGATAGACTTGCCAGATTTAGGCCACCTTGGTGCCTGCTTAGTAAGGAACAAAAGGAGAGCATACAGAGACAATGTTTATTTCATGGAAAGTAAGATGAAGTAGTTATGTTTATAAGTCCCATACTTGGAAGGATTTCATGAGAGCTACAGGATTAAAATGGGATACTGATACGCCTAACAATAAAACTAAGCCTAACCTTGAACATAACCCTGACCCTACCCTAACCCTAATCCTAAACCTACCCCTAAACTTAAACCTAAGCCTCACCCTAAGTATAGCGCTAGCCCTAAATCTAACCCTAAACATACCCGTATCACTAATAGTAATTCTAAACCTAAACCTGAACCTAAACGCACATAGGGGTTTGAGGTCAGCTCATTGTGTAACCACAGAATATAAATTTTAAAGGTCTCTAATGTGACTCACCAAGATGAAAAACAGAAACTTTCTGTTTAGCACTAGTTAATGTTTGACAATGTATTTTGATTCACCTGTGTTTCGCTTTTGTCTCTGGAATCAGAACTCTTAGAAAATGGTTAAACCGCAAAAAAATGGCTTATTGATGTAATCATGTAACTTTGTAATTTATAATCTGAGCTCTGCAGCTGCAAAATTACACTCAGACTTTCACCAAACTCCTGTGTGTTTGTTTGTCATTAGCCGAATCCTTGTCCACCCTTTCAGGGACCCTGCTCCAGTCGGACTGAACTGCTCCGGCCTGGGCTGGTCCGTCACACCATATCCCTTTAATATCTTTTACATTCTCATTTTCATTTTCAATAATTATGAAACATAACAAATTTTCCATCTAGAGTGAAAATTCTCTTTTCCATTGAAAATGGTTATATCTTTGTCATTAGCCGAATCCTTGTCCACCCTTTCAGGGACCCTGCTCCAGTCGGACTGAACTGCTCCGGCCTGGGCTGGTCCGTCACACCATATCCCTTTAATATCTTTTACATTCTCATTTTCATTTTCAATAATTATGAAACATAACAAATTTTCCATCTAGAGTGAAAATTCTCTTTTCCATTGAAAATGGTTATATCTTGAGTGTGTTCATACAAAGTACACTATATATGTGAGCTCATTAGCGTGCTTTTCCTCTCTTTTTATTGCTCTGTTTTCTAAATGGTATACTATACCTGCACATACATTTATTTACATATATACATGTATATATTATAGGCTAGGATCAACATACAAGAGAGAACATGTTTTTTTTCCTTTCAGAGATTAGGTAAAGTCACTTAATATACACCCTAAATCCAACCATTTTCCTGAAAAATTTATTTCATTTTTCTTTAGAGCTGAATAATATTCCATTTTATGTATGTACCAGGTTTTCAGTACCCATATCTGTTGGGGGACTACTAAGTCGGTTCCATTTCCTTGCCATAGTGAATGGAGTAGCAATAAATATGGGAGTGCAAATATCTGCGTAGTAAGGTACGGCGTTCTCTAGGTGAGGAGATAGTTGAATCATATGGTAGGTAGCTCTAATTTTTTGAGAAACCTCCAAACTGATTTCCTTATGGCTGTACTAATCTGCATTCCTCCGAACCCTCTCCATTTGTTGTCAGACAAATTTGTTTTTTGAGATAGGGTCTCCCTGTAGCCCCAGATGGCCTGGAACTCACTATGTAGACCAGGCTGGCCTTGAACTCACAGAGATCCGCCTGCCTCTGCCTCCTGAGTGCCTGGATTAAGTGCCTGGCCCTGTTGTCAGATTTCTTGATGATAGCCAATCTGACCAGCATGAGGCTGAGTCTCAAAGTAGTTGTAATTTGCATTTCTCTGAAGACTAGGGTTGTTGACTACTTTTTAAAAGAGTTATTGGCTTTTTGTGTTTCTTTTTTTGGAAAACTGTCTTAATTCATTAGCCCACTTCAGATGACTTGGTTTTGATCCTTGGATCCCACAAGGTGGCAGGAGAGAACTGACTCCTAAGAGCTGTCCCCAACTACATCTCACACACACACACACACACACACACACACACACACACACACACACGTACACATGCATGCACACACGCACGCACTTCCAGGAGCTTCCTAGGCATTTAGTCTAGTTGAAACACTGAGCTCCAGATTCAACGAGAGATCCTATTTCAAAAAAAAGTGGAGAACAATACAGGAAAACACCCTGACATCTCTAGCCTCTACGTGTGCCGGAACAGGCAATACATCTCACACACACACACACACACACACACACACGTACACATGCATGCACACACGCACGCACAGAGGCACAACATTTTTTTTTTTTTAGAAAAGAATTGAGGGGGGTAAGTTTGCCGCTGTGGACAGGGCAGGTGGTGGCCAGCGCCCCCTGAGCACTACTCAGAGTTGGTTTCTCCATCTCACAGACTTTTAGAAATGGCTGCCAGCCTGTCCTGAATCTGGGGAAGTGCTACAAAACTTGCACTAGCTCTGGCTTAGAACTAGCTGACTGCTGTTCTGGGAGTGGTATGGTTTTGCAGGTTTTTCAAATGATTTGTTACATTTTGGCTATCTAGTTATATTGAGAATTACTGCTGAGTGTTCAAGGTGTTGATTCTAAATAATCCACCCCAAGTGATTGTGTGGGTTCAGAGTTCAATTCAGTGTCTTGTTTGCTTTCCTGTGCCATAACCTGGTGACTGATGGGGGCAGGAGAGGAGGAAGATGCCCCGAAGCCAGCATGGGCTGCAGTTCCACCTCTTATTCTGTGATCTGGGCCTCTCATCTCCAAGCAAGGTCATTAACACCTGCCTCATGCCATGCTTAGATCAGCAATAAATGCCTGTAAATACCCAAGACAGAACCAGGCTTGGGGGTGGAGGAGGCTGCAGTGAGGAGCCAGATCTCGGAGGGCTGGAAGGATGATGTCAAGAGAGAATGTGGTTGGCATGTCAGGCTGCATCTGCACTCCTTCGCTTTCTAATCTTGCCCATCAGTTTCTTCTTCACAATTCCTGACTTGGTTTGCTCAGGAAATCTCTCTTCATTGCTAAGAATCTGATGAAAGAACTAGGTGTGGTGGTGCACCTGTAATTTCAGCACAGGGAGATGGCAAGTTCCAGGCCAACCTAGGCTATATAGACTTTAAAGAAAAATCTTATGGAAGATATAGAAACCCTCAATGTGAAAATGTACATATTTTTAAAACTTTATAAAAATTCAGTTTCTCTCTCATCCTGGTTAAAAACTCTAGAATTAGGGCAAGGGAGATGGTTTGGTGGGTAAGAGCACTTGCTGTGCAAGCATGAGGACAGGACCTGAGTTCAAATCCCCAGCACCCACATAAGAAGCTGGGTGTGGTTGTATGTGCACCTGCAATCCCAGCCTTGGGGGTGGGGTGGAGATAGGAGGATCTCTGGGGATTGCTAGCTTCCAGTTTAGCTCTAGGTTTAGGGAGAGACCCTGTCTCAAGGGAAGAAGACAGAGTAACAGAGCAGGACAGCTGACATCCTTTTTTGGCCTCTGCAAACCTGCTCACCTATAATCCATGCAAGCACACACACAAACATGCACACACACACATGCATGTTTAAAAAAATAACCTGAACTAGCTCACTTCTCACATATATTTCTTGCCTCAATAATGAGGCTTATGAGGTATCTTAGTTTCATTTCCTCTTGTGATAAAAATACCCTAGTAAAAGCAAATCAAGGGAGAAAAGGTTTGTTTGGCTTGAAGTTCCAGGTTACAGTCTGTCATAGCA